TGCCAAGGCTTAAAGCAGCAACAACGCTACACATAAAAACTGATGATGGTGGAAAAATACACCGAAACGTATTTTGATTGATAAATAGAGACAATAAATGACTGAAACCCAGGAATGAATTTGATTTGGAATTGAAACACAGTCAGGAAAGTGTATACAATGGAAATATAATAAAATTTGCAAACTACATCAGTCTAGTCATCCGTTTGGTCCCCTATAAAATCAGTATCTAACAACATTTCTTAGGATAATGAAGCCAGGACGGAAGTTGGAAGTTTGGCTGAATAATTCGCATTGTTATGCGGCAAATACCTACATAAACGGTAATGTCAACATTCATAATTGAGGAGGACCACAGAACCGAAGAATTAGCAGTTTTCCCAACGGCAATTGTAGCCAGGGCCATGGCATTTTAATTAAGATCGAGACCAATTCCGATTTCGGCTGGTAATTCGAGTATATTCCAGGCCAGAAGAATTTCAACAAATTAGATTTCGCTTCGGGATACAAGCTGGCAATTTTTGGAATTCGGCGCTTCCATTTGGCTGATTTGGCAAAGTCAATACAAAAATGTTTAAATACAACGTTCAGATTTAATATTATCATATGCAAGGGATTTTGACATGGGAATGAGTAAATACACACTTGCACAAACAATATTTCATAGAGAAAATGGTCACTTTGAAGCTTGCTGGAGAGCCAAATGAGAATGCCGAATTTTTGCGAATAAAAAAAAATGAAATCTCCACTTGCCATATAATTTCGCTCTATTTTTATGCACCTTTCAAAGGGAAATTGCCTCGTCGTGGCTATCTTTGTTCTCAGATTTCTTACTCGAATATTTTGCCTTCAATGCGAATTATTGAGTGTCGGCTCCGACTCATTGCGTCAATCCTAGCCGGCTGAACAATGTAAGCAGAAAAGCAGTTTTTCCTAAATAACACCACAATACCGTTTAAGCGGTTCCAATTAATTATCGTGACAAAACAAACTGCAGCTAATTCCGAACTTGAAAGTGGAGAAGTTGCGGGAGCAGCTGCAAGACGCGCCTCTTTATTAAGTACTTTAATTCCGCGAAGAAACCTGTAAATAGGGAAAGTCTAATGGCATCGCTTAAATGTTCTGCCTACGCAAACATGATTAATGCTGTGACAGACACATGCAGACAATGTAGGGAATATTTCAAAAGTGCCGACATAACAACAGTAATAACGAAGCCTTTGCGAGAAAAAGGTGTTAGATAATTTTCACCCGAGCTCCTTTGGAAGCGCAATAGTTTAAGGGTGGATTAAACATGGAAAGTACATAAGCTGAACATTTTTCTAAAGACGGGTTCCGAACTTGTTCAATTTGGTATACTGGATGACTCAAAGTTTGTGGTATTCCAGGACAGACTCAGATCAAAGACGTAACAAGAAAAAGCATACGAATTCGAAAGCAAAACTTTTTTCCATTTCTCGACTGCGCTAAGGCCATCTGATACAGTTGAACACCGTTATATGGTTAAGTTGCTGGAGAAAAATAATCTAAACAGAAATCGCGGAATAATATCCAATGTATATTATAATCAGAACGCTGCCACATAATTGGATTGAAACAGCTAAATACACCGGAATGAAAAGAGGAGTTAAAGGAGGAAAAAGACGCTGGCGACACAATCCTCCTGACCGAAACTCCTGCTAAACTAAAATTCTATATCTACTGAGAATATCTACTGAATATCTATAAATACGCGTCTGTATTTATGCAATCGATGCAAAAATACGGACTGCGCCAGAGGAATCGCATCGGAACAGTGTAAGCGTTCAAGCAAACCACTTCTGAAGATGCAAGCCAAACGTGCTTGCGAAACGTCAGGAAGAAATTCTACCGAACGATGGCCTAAAAACCCGAAAAACCCATTAGTTTCAAGGAATGGCCTCGAAAGTCTTTCTCTTTTGATAATAACTTACTTTCTCTTGCGTGCTTCTGCTTCATTTTCTTAATACCTCACTGAGTAAGTTTCATGGCATTTTGCAATTCGCCGTTATTTTATAAACTGCTAAATGCCATTTATCCGCCTTAGAGAAAACGTTTCTGAAATTCTCCCACTATCTACTCAACCACGCCACTTTAATTATGGAACACAACAACCTGCGGTCGCTTTACAACTCTAAAATAAATAAGTTGCACTTTACGACTGATTTACGACTTCCGAAGGGATTAAAATTCTTTCAAGCCAAAGGGAAAATCGTAATGAGTTTTTAAGCATCCAAAACAGTTTTTATTGCGTTTATTTCGCTCCACTTTTGTGTCCCGATACACTTGGCAGAAGCAAAGCTAGGGAGCAAACGAAACTAATTGCGAAAATAAACATGCAATAAGCAAATGCTGAAACCAAAGTTAATTATTATTTTATGAGTGTTTGCGATTGCTAACGCAATTCGTTTCGCAAATAAAATATCAGAAAACATGGTCCCTAAGAGCGGAATTCGGGTTTTAGTATTCTCTTTAGTTCTGGATTTCGAGAAGCCTCCAAAGGTCTCCCGAGAACAGATACGCCGTTTACGCTTAGAAATATTTTGTTATTCATAGGCCAATTTCTCTTCGGCCGATCTTTGACTCGAAATTTAACTTTGAAGGCAGATTTTCAAACGGGAGCAAAGCAAAATGGCTTCAAAGCGAAAGAAAATTATAATATCCGTCCAGAGTTTAGGTCGACTGGTTCTTGCCAAAATCGCATCAATTCCATTCAAAAACTTTGGTTTATGCGGAGCAAAGCTTCAAGTTTATAAAACCCTTTAAATTGACCAGGTCGGTGGCAGCTAATTTTTTGAAGTAAAAAGCCAAGGAAATGAAACAGACAATAAAGAGGACAGACAGCAAGCAACGGTGCAGAGAAGTTTTACAAGTTGAACAGTTTTTAATGGGCTTAATTTTCTTATTTTCACAAACAATTAGCTAGAGCGGAAACATGATTGCGACATAATTTAAAGTTGGATATAAAAGGAAAGTACAGTTAGGGATATTAATTATTAACAAACAACAATTCAAGACATGAACGGTAGTGATTCCAAAATATTTTTGAACCGCATTTTCTGTGCCAAAACATTCGAATCCAGAAGAGAAGGAAATTGAATAAAAAACACAATCCAAAAATAAATTATCTCTATAAAAAGGAATTGGTGGAGCGTTGAAATCGTAAAATGTTATTTTACGATTTCGAGTCGAGAGAACTCGACTAAAAATGGAAATAAAGTGAAAGTGCAGAAAGATCAAAATTGTTAAAGAGTGAACAAAATAAGCCTTTTCAGGCTTGTTACGGTCGCTACTCATTTCCTTCCGACTTTCAGCTAATTCGGCTTCAACTTCTTTAAGCCATCAGATACATAAACCGTTCAACCAAGCAAGCAATTTTAATTCAATCTGGGACCAGAGGCAGAAAAAGTGGAATAAAATGCGCACAAATTAAGACTAACCATAATTTTGAAAGGAAGGGCACGTTTAATGCTTGTATTTAACAATAAATAAATTCGAAATTATCTTCATGCGGAGTCGCTAAGGGCAGAAACAGGAAAATGAAATTAACTGAAGCGTCAAGCGAATTAAAGACATGGGCGTTCCATTTCAGTTTGATCTGGGAAAGTTAATTCCCACATCACCATTTTCAATTTATCTTGTCGGTGTGGTCCGCCCTAATTAGTTGAAAGATAAAAAGAACATCAGCCGACACTGTCGAGTTACAAAATAAATATTTCTTGGCCAAGGCGGGCGTTACTTTCTTTTTTACGCAATGCGGGGACGGTTTCCTGCGGGCGAACAACCTTTCAGAAATGCGTTAATTTTAACTAGGAATTTGTTTAGAAGGCAAAAAAGTTGTTTAATTCGGCTTTCGGCAACACAATTTCCAGTTTATTACATTCATTTTTATATTTTCGGGTTTGAAGAAAACGATTTTTTGTTGTTGGCCGGAAAAACGCTTTAAATCGTTGGAGCAGCTTGGGATTTTTGCAGCGCCTATAAATTAACCTGACACACGCAGCAATTCCAGTCTTTTAAAAAACTCATGAATACAACCGTGTTTGAAGTGAAAGTTGGGCCATTTTTAACTATATACGGAAAATTGACGCAAGGCTGAAAAACCAGCTTTCAACTAAGCAAATTTCGCCAAACAACTGAACTGACCATCATTTAATGCAATTTACATACACAAAAACGCAGAACCCACAGCTACCCCTTGCTCAACTCGACCTTCATTATAAATGGCTCGAGCACATTTAAATATTAATAGTCTTGTGTCTGGCTGTTACTTCTGCAACATTGATTATTCAGACAACCAAACTTGAGCAATTAAAGTGCAATAACCGAGCTTTGGATCGGAGGTTTAACATCTTGAAAATTCCGGAAAATTCGCGAACTGGCTTCGATTAATTGAAAGTTTCAAAGGAAATTGAAGGCTTCATTCTTTCGAGCTACCTCAAATTTTAACCGATTTTAAAAATTCAATAAACGGCGAAACGAGCTTTGCATTTGCCGGTAAAAGCATCTCTAGTACCTGAAAAATTTAGGGAAACCACTAAAATCATTTGAAGTTTGAAAGTGGTATTAAATGTTGCCAAAATGGGTTTCAGACGGGAAACTGAGCTGCAGGGATTGGATCGATCTGACAATATCAGGTCTTTGGAGGGTTTCACTTCAAAAAAATTGATATTTTCTATGTTGCTATCGCTGCAGTGTTCTTTCAGTCTGCAAAGGACTAATTTTAACGTGGCATTTTATGAGTGTTTGCTTTAAAGGCGACAATCAACCGCGTTTGAACACTGTTCAATACAAGGTTTAGATTTTTTTCGGAGCCCTGGATAATCGGTTTGTATGAAATTGGATACAGTTCTGACCAAACCAATCATCTTTGGTCGGCAAGAAAATGAGTTTTTCTACAATGAACGCGAATATTGTCGACTGTAGTCAGGGGCGAATCCAGCTTTAAAGTCAGGGGGGGTTATGTAAAAAAAATATAGTCTTCTGTTGTCTATGAAATTAGAAAAATTATCGTCGTTTTGTGCAAGAGTGGCGTAAGATTATTGCGAAATTTAAGGTTTTCCGTCCCGTTTTTGCTCGTATCTCGGAGGCAAAATGAGCAAGAACGCTCATTTGTACATCATTCTAGAGACAAATAAATTACCTTTTTAGAAAGTGAACCATGGATGGGGAAATGTTGGCAGTTTTCGGAAAAAATGCTTGAATTCAAGAAGTTTTAGATTTGTGTGGTTTTTTTTGAGTTGCAAAATCCACTTGAACATGACGCTGCTTTTTTCGAAGTTTCTCGAGAACCATTCGAGCCAGAGAATTCGTTTTGACATCGTTGGATAGAGAATTGGATCAGCCCTTGACTGTAGTTGAACAGTGTACAGTTTATACAATTCTTCTTAAAATCCCTAATAATTCTTATTATGACCTGAGTAGATGTATTGTTCACTGTGCCACTTTCCGTAAATCAATTGTCATTGAACAATTGTCATTGAATTGGATTTTTCTTGACGCCAAGAAAAATCACTTTCAAAGTTATAAATTATCGGACAACGAAAAACTCTTCACATGCAGTTTTAAGGCCATACTCATCAACTGAATGAGCTTGAGCTGAAACCAATGAATGAAATTATATCACAATCACAAAGTTAAAACTGTATGAGCTACAATTCTGTATTAAGCAATCGAGTTACCTTCTGGTGGCTTTCATGGTTTTTATGGATTCTTTGCGTCATCGCTTGTCAATATCATTTTTTAATTTTCACTGTTAAACACACCAATTTTTTTTTTAATATTTTGTTTTGCTTTATGCCAGTTTCTCAGTTTTACGTGTTAATTACATAATTCCTAACTCTGATCTAAATTGATTCACTGGTTTCAGCTCATTCAGTTGATGAGTATGGCCTTAAAACTGCATGTGAAGAGTTTTTCGTTGTCCGATAATTTATAACTTTGAAAGGGATTTTTCTTGACGCCAAGAAAAATCCCTTTCAATGTTATAAATTATCGGACAACGAAAAACTCTTCACATGCAGTTTTAAGGCCATACTCATCAAATGAATGAGGTTGAGCTGAAACCAGTGAATAAAATTAGATCACAATCACAAAGGTAAAGCTGTTGAGCTAAAATTCTGTATTAAGCAATCGAGTTACCTTCTAGTGGCTTTCATCGTTTGTCCCCTCCTCAAGCTGGAATAATCCTCACATTGAATGGCACAGGGCCGAACCACGCACTGTTCAACACCATACGCGTCATAAAAAACACTATTCGGTCCGCGATGAATATTGATAATTTCCGGTGATTGCATTCGGCGCAACGAGGCCGTCTTGATCTCCCTCAATATCCTCTGGTTCTGTTCACAGATGTAGCTGTGTCTTGGCGGGGCGTGATATTGATAGCTCGGCGTTCGGTCCAGCATCGCTTGCTCGACGTTCGCCAGCCTGGGCAAAGAGGAAAACGACCGGTTGAGTACCAGAACCTGCTGTTCGGGTACCACGTCTTCGGAGAAGCGCGTTTTTTGCCGGCACAAGTCCCTATTTTGCACGCAATGGCACAAAGTCTCCAGGTCGGATTTCTGTTTTGCTTGGCGAGTGGGCACCACTTCGATCGCAGGTGGTGGCGCATTTTTCAGCAGCAATTCGGAGCTTTGGTTCACGTTGTAGAACACACTTTCGGCGTAGGTGACTTTGTCGGAAGCATCGCTAATCGCTCCTTGGGGTGAGAGTGGGATTATCGTTTGGCCGACGTTTTGGTACTCGAGGACGTCACTGGGGGATGCTTGGGTGTACTTGGAGCTTTTCGTCACCTTTTGACTCTTCATCTCTGGAAGGAAAAACCAAAACTTTTATTCGACTTGTCGAGGATTATTGCGGTACTTCATGCACTGATTGGTTCTTTTATTAGGGGCACATTGATGATTTCAATCAATCGGGCAAAACTTCCAAACTCCCGTTTGCAAATGAGTTCTGCTGCTAACCATTTCCGTACTGGAGTCGCTGTTTTGCAGCAACCCGAGGAAATTTTAGACCGAATAACATTCCAAAACAGCGCAGGTTTGATTAATGCGGAAAAATTGAAGCCAAATTGATGACTCGATGTTTATTTCATACCGGAACCACTACATGGATGTGATGCATTTGGCCCGACCGTAAAACTCGGGTTTTTGCTCTAGAAAGTCGAGCATTGCGAATAAATAATCAATGGGGTTGCGTAACAAAAACGAGCACTAAATTATCTATGGGAACACATGTAGCGGCTCTTATCAACGATTTAATCTACCCCAACTGGCTGAAGGATAACGGATGAGGGATGGTTAGCGAGCAGACAAAAACTTCAAGGCGTACGATAAATTGGATTATGCCGTCAAGAAAAAAATTGATGAATACCACTTGCCTGTTATCTATACAATTATGGAGCATTTGAGCAATGAAGGCACTCCTCATTGGGCGTAAACGAAGAAAAAGTATTTGATCTTTGCAAGCACAGGTTCATTTTATTGCGACACATTGTTGATTAGAGATGTGGATCGAATTGCCCCAAACAGATGTTTTTATAAATGCTTACTTAATGCAAAAATGTGAGCGTATTAAATATTTGTTTTGCAAATGGTCAAAAATAAGCGTTATGAACTCAGAAACAGATCTTTATTTACATTGACGCAGAGCCAAGGCTTACAGATTTAAGGAAACTAATCCAATAAATCAAAAACTGCAAACCATTTGCTGAAAATATTTCACATAAAACGTGGGTCGTATCTGAAGAGATTATGACAAAAAAATAAACTTCTGTCTAAAAACGACATTTATTTAAACAAGTTCGGCTGTATGGACTATATGCAGAAAAGGATAAAAAAATAATCATTTTAAGCAAACCATAATGAAAACTTGCA